AGACACTCCGTCAACGAGAACTCGGAAATTATCAGCACAGTTTAATACATCGAAAACAATAGTACATGAAGTTCTTCAAGAACAGCTGTTATATCCATACCGTTTGCAAAAAATACTTGAACTGTTTCCTGAAGATTTTCCTCGTAGAAGGCAGTTTGCAAACTGGCCATTGGATCAGCAACGAAATAATGTAAACTTTATTGGCACTATTGTTTCGCATCATCAACATGAGTTCCAATCAATTAACATCTGGGCAGGAATCATTGGTAATTTTTTTACTGGACCATTCGTATTGCCGGAANCCCATAACCTTTTGCAATTAAATAATGATTCAGCAGGTAAAGCAACGCTTTTTATTACTTTTAATTATAAGCGCATACATGTCACAATAACAACTGTCAAAATCAACAACCACTAGTCTAAAATTAATATTATTTCAAATTTATTTCAACAGACACATTGATCCTTTACTTCGTTATTAATTTACCGATTTTTGGATGTCGTGGTTAATTTAATTGTGAATTAATTCGAAATATGGAATACACGTTTATTGAGTATGCAGATATGCATCTCATGTATGGTATTGCGTCTTGCAATGCTTTACAAACCAGGAGATTATATCACGACTGATTTCCTAATCGTGCTCTGCCAAACCAGAAGACATTTCAACGAGTTGACCAACGTCTAAGGGTAGTGGGCGATTCCAGTTAATAAGGTAATACATATTATTGACGTTCCTCATATTTGAGGAAAATTTGGAAAAATAGTACTGATGCTGGTCTTCGAAGAACCGTACGTACGTCGCAATTAGAAGAAAATATTTTAATTGCTGTAGAAGACACTCCGTCAACGAGAACTCTGAAATTATCAGCACAGTTTAATACATCGAAAACAATAGTACATGAAGTTCTTCAAGAACAGCTGTTATATCCATACCGTTTGCAAAAAATACTTGAACTGTTTCCTGAAGATTTTCCTCGTAGAAGGCAGTTTGCAAACTGGCCATTGGATCAGCAACGAAATAATGTAAACTTTATTGGCACTATTGTTTCGCATCATCAACATGAGTTCCAATCAATTAACATCTGGGCAGGAATCATTGGTAATTTTTTTACTGGACCATTCGTATTGCCGGAACGAATGAAAGGACAACTTTATTTGGAGTTCCTTCAGAACGCTTTTCAAGATTTAACAGAACACTTAACAATTGAAACCCGCCGAAACGTGTACTTCATGCACGATGGGGCACCACCTCATTTCAGCGTTGGTGTATCGGAGCACCTGAACAACGTCTATCCAAACCGTTGGATAAGTAGAGGAGGACCTATTGTCTGGCCTCCTCGATCTCCTGACCTAAAGCATCTGGATTTTTACCTGTGGGGACACCTCAAACAATTGGTGTATTCCACTCCGGTCGACACTAGGAAGAAATTTCTACAGAGAATCACATTTCGTTGTGGAGTGATAAGGAACAATGCTGAGTTACTGTGGCGGGTGCAGCAGTTCTCAATTCGTCGTGCCCGCGAGTGTATCAGACTTTACGGAGCCCATGTTGAACTTTTTATGAAGTTTTTCTATAATTTCGTTAAAGTGTAAAGTGTTAAAGTAATATTTGTTTTATATCAATAATTTGTAGAAATGTTTCCTATGTAGGATCCAGTATGTATTTTATTGGAAATGACATTTTCCAGATCGAAAATTGACGACAAAAAAGATTTTTTAAATTGCGAAAGACCTGTGCCTTCTCTCGATGTGGAAAAAAAGGGGGAGGTCAAAAGACAAAGTGTATGTTCGGAAGATTCGGATTGAATGGTATTCGGAGTATAAGTGGTTGTGCGGATGTGTTTATTTAAAAAAACTTTTTTGTATGCCGTGTTTAATTGTGAGTGTAAAATCGGAATTGTGGAATAAGGAGGGTTTTAACAAGGAGGAGGAGGAGAATAAAGAGGGTTTTAATAATCCCGCTTAACATCTATATCTGTACATATCATTAAGTCCACGAGCCGAACTAATATTTCTATTTTTTATAAAATCTAAATGAAAATCCTTCTCGCCAACGTCAGTTTTTCGGTAATATTATATTGCAAATGCAACTAAAATTTCCAGATTCATTTAAAGCCGTTTGACCTTGAAAATTGCCTGCGGCGCTTTTTTTAATCCATCAATAAATATGCTTCACCTATTCTCAATGTCACGAGCCACCACTGACTATATGTTCTTGGATTTTTGATATCTCAATTACTTCATTTAGTTTTCGTAATGTCGTTATTTGAATGCAACGTTCAACTTTTGCAACAAGTTTACGTCAGTCAATTGAAGCTGATCCTCGACGAAAGGCCTTCGACTTCAACTGATGAGTGGTGACTTCAGAAAGTCAAAAATCTATATAGTTCCTGTAAATCGGCGATTGATTGTCAAAGAAATTGCATCTCAATTGGGTCATGCCATGAAATTTTGACTGAAAATGGTGTGAAAAATGCCTCGAGCAATCCAATGTTGTTCCAATCCAACATTGTTTGTAGATCTTGACTTTCTCACTACACAAAATTTGATATAGGTACCTAGTTATTGTTGTTCAAAATGACGCAAGGTAAACCCGTTTCCATAAAACATATATCAGTCGCTGAACTAATATCAGTCAGTAACAGACAGATAAGAGATGTAAAAGAAAAGGTTAATCTACCAATTTAAACCCGATGAATTACAACATTCTATTTTTATAGAAAACACTATTAGTCATTTCAATAATTATCAAGCGGATTAAAATTCGTTAAGCACATATTTCTGTTAAAAAGATAAGATATCGTGGTACAATAACTGTCACTTTAGAATATGTAAATATTTTCTTTAGAAGTAATACCAAAGCGTTTGCTTACGATGGAAATAGGATTCATGTTGATCCGAAAAATTTGCTCTAAATTACGTAAATAGCTTAGTACCCTTACTACATTGTTTAAGGTGGTTCTGATTACACACCGAAAGTTGTGTTGAAAGTTATTCCCGAAAATGAATCAGAATAAGGATTGTAGTTCGCATGTTGTCGTTACTGTATTTTACATTTAGACAAGGCGAAAACCTCGCATTGTGGTAGAAATTATCCGACTCGATTTTTTTGCATATTCAGATTCGTGAGATGTTCCTTAACATGAATCAAGATGATGCCGTCCGGAAATCTGGTGACCATTTGTTTAAACAAACTTTTTTTAAACAAATTGTAAAAATTGCTTTTTCACTCCGGATTTTTTTTAGGTGTTTTGGCACATTATAAACAAAAAAGTTCCAATGCTCTATGCCTCTAAAACTGATAGTTTTAAAGTTATAAACAATTTAAGTTTCGGGTTAAAAATTGTTATTTTTGATGTTGCCAGGTATCTAAATTAAAGTTTAAACATCCCCCTACGAGTTTTTGGGACTCGCATTATTCTAAAACCTTGTATTTTAATTGTTAATAAAGCGCTATGAGCCCTCTTTAGCTTATGTTCTTTGAATTCTAAGTACTATTACTACTTATAAAATAATATAAAAATTTATTATTTAAATTTCATAATTCATAATAATTTTATTTGATTAATGCAAAATTGTACGAATAGAGTGCAGAAAAAAATAAAAGGGCAATGGTATCAAATACATTTGATTTTTATTAAAGAACATTTATTTAATACTGCATATTATTATTATCACACATTTATTCAATCATAAGAATTCTCACACTGTTCTGTGTTACAAACACATAAAGATACACAAGTGACATAGTTTTTCCTACAAGAACAAGCTTTAGTCTTACAGTTTTTTGTACATTTATATTGTTTAACTAAGTCTTTGGGTAATGGATCTTTGGTAATAAATTTAGGTAATAATTCACCTGTTTCATTTTGATAATCAAAAACTGTGAAATCCAAATATTAATATTGAGGAAAAATGGAACTTTTCCATATGTCCGTTTGTAAAGAAGCTCATAGCGCATTATTCACAATTAAAAAACAAGGCTTTAAAATACTGAGAGTCCCAAAAACTCATCAGCATCTTGTAGGGGGATGTTTAAACTTTAATTTAGGTACCTGGCAACATCAAAAATAACAATTTTTAACCCGGAAATCGGCCGTTGAAAATCGTAATTTTCGCATATTTAGCAACTTAAATTGTTTATAACTTTAAAACTATCAATTTTAGCTTTAGCTCTATGGAGCATAGGAACTTTTTGGTTCATAATGTGTCAAAAAAACGTTTTTTACAATTTGTTTAAAAAAGTTTGTTTAAACAAATGGGCACCAGATTTCCGGCCGGCATCATCTTGATTCATGCTGAGGAACATCCCACGAATCTGAATATGCAAAAAAATCGAGTCGGAAAATTTCTCCCACGAATGCGAGATTTTCGCCTTGTCTAATTATTTTATTGTATTATGAATTATGACTGTTACAGACCAAACCTTGAGTGGCTGTATTTGTTTAAAACCTAACATAATAACATCTGGTAATGATTTTTATATTATTGAATTTATTTGAATTACTTTAATGCCTTTAAAATAAATAAAAAAAATCATAAATCAGATAAGAAATGGGTCAAACATATATTTATTACTTATAACACAAAATAAAATTGTCTATAAGAAATGAAGAGTAAATGCTACATTTGTGGTTGTTTGTAGTGTGTGTTTGTATGTCAATAATCGTCGTCGTAGGTACATAATTCAAAATCTGACCAATCGACTAAATAGTTAGATAATTGACTGAGGCAAAGGTTCACTTCACTCGACACTCGACAGTACTCTGTAGTCGAATCTGTTGATAACCTCAAATATGTACAAATATTTATAAAGATTACTTAGCTCAAGTACTCTATTCACCCATTCAGGGACATACCAAATGATAAAACAACGAAACGGCAGTATATTTCCCTTTGTACAAATAAATTTATTGACGGGGCTTATGAATAATTGAGTGCAATAAAATTTTTTGTCGGCGTGCGATAAAACAAAAACAATAAGGTTCTGTACTCACATGCGTTATTTCCACAGGTGTATAAATAGAAAAACCAACTACGAGTGACTTTCTCATAGCGATGGTCCGACATATCACCTGCTATCATTTACAGATATGCTAATAGACTTATCTCGTTCGGGTTAATCTACAATAGACATGGATTTATGTGCGGGATGATACGAAACGGCATGATAGTTTTCAGAAAAAATGAATTGCTCCACTATTTTTAGTAGCGACAACTACATATTTAAGAGAATGGTAGGTACCAGATAATTTTGAGGTAAAAATATGATGATTAGACCAAATATACTTTAAATGCAAAGTTGCTGCAGTGCCCAAAATATTCAACAAGAGTTTTGCACAATATACTGCAAGCTAAAAATGTTTAAATTTATTACCGATGTTGCAAAATAGCAATAATTGAAATAAAAACGCAAAATAATCAAGTTTTTTGGATATTTTTTTTTTAATATTTTAATTGCTCCGGGGGCATTCTAATTTTAGTAAAATTTTAGAGTATAATAAAACAACATACCAAATTTCATTAAAATAATTTTCGAATAATAATTTTTTGAAAATTTTTTTTTCGAATTTTCAAAATGTTGCACAGCCTCAAATAAAGCATCTAGATACTTGAACATTTTTTCACGTAGAAAAGACCTCTCATCCTTTCAGATGTTTTTTTGAAAAATTGAAATCAGTTGATTAGGACGGCCACAGTAAATTTTTAAAGTTAACACTCTTTTTTATATTTTTAAACAATTATATTACATTTATCAATTTGCAATTTAGTTTTTTCAAAAATTATAATTTTAAAGTAGCATTATTTTTTCTTAATTTTATCTGCATTTAACAAAAAAATTAATTTCCAAATAATTTTCTTTTTTTATTTGTTTAAACAAAAATTATTTAAATAATTGTAATAATTATAACTAAATACGTTCATATTCATGTTAAAATATATACGTAAACAAATTTTTTCATTGAAAAAATGCAATAGCATAGGGTAAAATACACAGTATATTTAATGCATAAATAATAAACTTAGACAGTTGGTATTATGATATTTGAATTTCTTGGATCGCGAAACATCGGATTAAAAAAAAAGATCGAAATTGGTCCATTAGAAGCCGAGATATTGAAATTTTTTCCGAATTCAGTCTCGGAGCGAAAGCCCCCTCCCCCACTTTTCGTGTTATGAGTCACTTTTTCCGTTGATTTATCTATGTTGCCGATAACTTATAGATATGAAAATTTTTTCTATAGCTTACATTATCGCTCTCACGTAACTTCTGATAGACCATCGGTACTTTCCTACTCTGTATTGTAGCACTAAGCTTAAGAGATTTTTAGTTTTTAATCTGATTTGATACAGAATAGATGTGCTATCTGAATAAGTGAATAAACAATATCTTTTAATTATTATTAGTGTTTTAGTTCTACCCAAAATCCCAACAATAATATGAGTACAACGAATATACAAGCTGTTTTATGGTGACGACCCACTAGATTATTTCAGAGATTACCTCGATATCCATTTTGAAAATTTGGGCCCTTGGGATTTTGGGGGTGCTCTTTTTTAAATAAAATAATGTCATTGTTGTAGGACTTCCGGTTATACCGGAACTCGCCATCTACTTGCTTATTCTAAATGGAACACCCCGTATATTTAATAAAAACAACCTATAGAAATTACTTTAATAAAGAATTCAAAGCATCTTCACTTTTAGAGGAATATACATATTTCGAATTATATTCAGGATGATCACGAGCATGTTGCTCTGTAATCAGAAACATCAGTCTGTGCTCATATGACTCACGATCAGAGTTGGACAAAGACTGAATATAAACAAAACTCACATAGGAAGCACTGCACCTGTCATCGGTACATTTAACGTTTCCCCCACTGTACACAAGAGCCGGCGGCAGTTAATTTCAAGCGCAAGCCCGCCGATATCGCGCCCAGCCGAGAAGCGTCCGCCGAGGCCGACGTCGGCGTCGGGACGCCGTCTGGACACTCTGCGGGCGTATTTTTAGCGCAGGCGAGAGCCACATTGCCGTGAAATCTCGCCTCGGCACCATGGCGCGGTAGTGCTCATACCCCACACTCGATTACCCAACATATCAAGCCTTCGAAGCATGGCAGAATTACGGGTATTTTCCGAAAATCCCCCTTGCCCTACCCGCTACTCGAGTGCCTCCGCTACCCTTCCTTTCTAAAAATAAGTGATTATTATTAGCTGGCCCCTTCGGTGGCTATTTGGGACCGATAGTTTTTTTTTTTGGTAAGTATATCGGTGTGTTTATATGGTGCACCAGTGTCGCCCGAATGAGGCGGATTGTTTGGTAGGAAGTGCATTTGCTTTTTTAGGTTAGATCAGCTTCTAAAATATCGCAGTTACGTGAGATACCGTCCGCGATTGCTTGTATGACTCGATATAGGGTGAGAGAAACAACAAACGATACCCAATGGTAGAAAATATATGCTTTTAATGTTTTAGAAACGTCAAATAGGCGATTTTTTTTGTATTTCAACTGTTTTATATTGGGAATTTCTTCATGAATGAAGTGGCTTCATCAAGAAACTGGACAAGTATAACGCGATAACTTCATAAATTTATTCGTGAAATTAATGACCCAAACAAAATATCTGCTTTAAATAGACTAAAAAAGTTACGACGCTGTCATAATAAAAAAATATAAAATATCAATATTTTGTTAAATTTAAGGACCATCTTTTTATTCTACGGCAGCTTTAGTACAAAATTTATCCTAGAAATGTTCATATCGCGGATTGTTAGGTTATCATCATCCTAAGGTAATGAGTTTTATGACATTACCAGCAAATAAGTAAATAACTTTTTAGACACTAATTCCACAACTATCTACACTTAGCTGGATTCAATTATTAACTTTCCCCTTATATTTAAAAAGTTATAATTAAAAATCAAGACCTTCGATAGTTCCACCAACGTTCGCTTTTACTATACATATCATTTTTATCCTTAACATAATGTTAATATACAGGGTGGTATAAGTATGGGAACCCCAAAAAATCTCGCGAGATATGCATTTTCCGGAAAACCAAATATAGAGAAAGTTAGGATTTTTCCCTCGCTATTCAATGGTGATGCCATGACCAGTGACCACGTGGTCACTATGGGGTCAAGATGATTTAAAAAATCAAAATGGCGAATCCAATTTAGCGGACGAATTTTTCAAAAATCAACTGATTTGCACCAAACGTTGTTACGGGAATTTTTGGGGTCACTGATCAAAAATCCGAGGTCAAATTTGCAAAATTCCAGATGGCGGACCAAGTTTTTGAAAATCAGTCGATTTGCATCAGAGATGGTATACGGCCGTTTTGGGGGTTGCTTATAATGTGGGGTCAGTGACCCCCAAAAGTCCCCTATATCAAATTTGGTCCCCATTAATTAAATTTTAAAAACCCCATCATCCATCACCTTGGATCCGCCATATTGAATTTTGAACATCTGACCTTGGATTCGTGATCAGCGACCTCGAAAACCTCCGTATACAAAATTTGGAGACTATCGGTTAACTTTCAAAAATTTCGATGGTCAAGGTCATATCTGAACGTAAAATTTTCCGCTCTTTCTATTTCCGGAGTCAAAAAGGGGGGTTACTATTTAAAAAAATCGTCTTGATGCCATAACGAGCACGTGGTCAGTGGTCAGTGGTCATGGCATGGTCACCATTGAATAGCCAGGGAAAAATTCTAACTTTCCCTATAGTATGTATTTGTTTTTTCCGGAAAATGCATATCCCGATAACAAGATTAAAAATTGCTGTTATAATATAAATTATCTTAGCAAAACTATTTTATTGGTCGATTTCCCTCCTCAGTGCAACTGTTTTACATTGAGAATAAATTCACGAAGTCCTTCATGAATTAATCCATCAATTTATTAATAAAGTGTTTGGTATTAACACTGTTCCAAACTGCTGTATTCACACAAAAATTGCTTCTAGTAGCTTTAGAAGCAGGTCATAGTAAATAAAAATAAATTCAAAAGGAACACATTTCCTTGAATAAGTTGAGAATTGTTAATTTTTAAATAGACATAAAAAATTATAATCCTACTTGGCCAATTCAAGTACCTATCACACATCAAGTAAACAAATAATTTCACCTCACTATTTTGCTGGTATGTACTTCAGGAAAGCAGGAGGATTAAAACGTGTTCTAATTGGTGAAAAACTTCAAGAATTTTATTTGACAGTTGATTTGATGTATTATACTAAGACTTGTTCAAATAAACTGTTTTAGTAGTGACGTCACATACGCCAAACAATAGGCAACCCCATAGTATACATTGTCATGGAGAATTTCTTAAAGCTGTTTTACATTGACAATTTATTGATCAATTAATTCATGAAGTCGCTTCATCAAGAAATTGGACAAGTGTAATGCACCAAATCAGCTGTCAAATAACTTCATCAATTTATTCATTAAGTTCTTGACGAATTAGAGCATGTTCTAATTTTCGTCAATTTCTTCGTGAAGTTCGGAAGTACCAACCCAACAGATTTGCAGCCTCAGATCAGTAATGAGGTTATGTTATTGGAATATGTAAATAACTGTGTGGCGTCGTACTAGTTTTGTATTGTTTTTACTGATTTGTTACTTACAAAAACTAATATTTATATAATATGTGTCAGAACGGTACCGCTGTTGTATCACTAGAATTATGAGTGAAAAGGTGACATTTTTGAAATTTATTTGCTTCTTTGATTCATTGGTAGAACTGATTAATACGTCAAAAAACTTGACAAAGTCTGTAGCAGTGTAAAACCACACTGTTTACCAATAAATTCGTGAATTAATTGATGAAGAACTTCGTCAATTTATTGATGAATAAATTGTCAATGTAAAACAGCTATTACTTTAGACATAATTGCCATAAAAATTGCTTAAATATCGCGATATTCTGGCAATATTAGAAATATTCAAACCCCAAGTGACAAACTAATAGAATTATAGAATTTATATATTTAAATTTATACGCGAGTATTGACTTTTATAGTAATTAATAAATTAAAATTATAACAATGTTACTGAGCATGCTCAATGAAGAGAATTTCAGTAATAAGCGAAGTAGCCTCGCGACAGGATATCATTCAAGGAAAGTTTGATTATGGTTAAGAGTACGTCTATAATAAACCACTTGAAGAAAAAACCATTCAATAAACATATTAACACAGTACAACGCCAAGAAAAACAATAAAAATACGTAGAACTAGAAGATGCCAAGATTAAACCAAACAAGAGGAAATACGCTAATGATGACAGCGATATAACATCACCTGCGTATGAGGCTATTCTTTCCGGACATGCGCATTAGGAATAACACGGCTCATATTAAATTTTTACTTTATTTAAATTTAAGAATATTTTTTATATCGTTTTTGTAAGTTTTGAGCACATTAGTGTGTCTATTTTACGAAACACGTGTTGGTTCTTAAATACTTCCAAATCCTTGTAAAAATAAATTAATTTAAAGTTGTTCATTTTTATATTATCTATGTAAATAGTGCACAAGGGTCAGATTCGGTATGTACAATTTCAACTATGACAATTTGTTGCGGGTTGCCTAAATATGTGACGTCACACTAAAAGAGTCTATTCTTCATGAAGCGATTTCATGAAATAATTGGCAGTGTAAAACAGCCATTAGAACGTTATTTGTTCACATATTCAGCATATTTTTAGTATAATTGTGGTACTTTAATGATGATTTTCCATGTTATCTAATTAAAAAAACAACAATTCCCAACATTTTCAAGAAAACGTATTCGTTTTCTATTTTTTTTATATTTACTATGACTTGGTTGAAAAGTTGATAGCAGCTTTTGTTTCAAATTGACAAAGTTTAGAAAAGTGTTAAACCGCATAAATTGATGAATTAATTCATAAATAAATGTTTTAGAAACGTCAAATAGGCGATTCTGTTCGTATTAGTGATGACTAACGTCATCGATAAAAAATTAATTTTCAGAGATATATCCAGTACATTGTGGATCTGTCTTATCTTAAGAGATACATTTCATTTTGATATATCGTGGAGAAACTGATGATTGCATATTTTTTATTTAATTGAAAATCAAAGTGAATATAAGCCATGAGACTTGTAGGGATCAAATTTTTAGTCGCATTAACTGACATTCAACTTTTGTTTTTCTTAAGGGTGTAAACCCATTATTGCATTTTTTAATATTTAAAATCACATTTTTCCAATGATGATTTATACTAAATATCAAATTATCAATTTTTACAAAGAGTTCTTTGCAAACAAAACATTTAATGCGAAATTTTGACAGCACATTCCTAATTTGACCGATTTTATACCTCTTAAGACAACTCTGAAATCTCCGTGATGCGAAAAACGGACACATGTTTAAAACTATTTGGTATTTCTTAAGTAACTTTTAAAAGATATATTTTGGGACACCATAAATTAAAGAAGCATTTATTTCGAAGATTAACTCAGCTTCTCTTTTGTTACAAAATAGATTTACTACGTCAAGGATGGCCCTGGTGATGCTCCCGAGCGACCTGCCGTGGTGGGAGAACGTAAAGCGGCAGCTAAAGAAAATGGTACACACCAAAAACACCCCCGAGCTGATAGAGGGCATGCAGAAAATATACGAAATGTGCAAGTATATATTTTCCTCCAAAAACCAAAGCGCGAATTGTTACTGACCGTCGTGTATTTTACAGCGTGAGCTTAGACCCGGAAGAAGAGATAGTGGATCCGGAACAGTTCGTGGGGCTTCTAAATTTCCTGGATAACGACATGACTAGCGAAGAAAGGAACATTTTTCTGAACAAAACTTTACCGAATATGGTGAACAGAGCGCTTAGGATCAAGGAACTCAGGCCCAAGAGAGGGTTACACTTTAGTTTACAGCAGCAACGTGAGTATGAAGCCACCAACAATTAAAAAGAGTCCGAATGTGACCAAAAGACTTGCAAATAATTGATTACGAATAGGCACATTGCTTTTTCAAATCTTTGAATTCAACCAAGACATTCTTATTACTCACAATCAGACCAAACAAATTTGAACCCAGAAGATGGTCTATAACTATAGTCTATACTTTTCCGAAAGTTCTTGATGTGCAGAATCCGAATCCGAATTGCTCCATCCCGTCGGGTTTTCTAGATGTGGTAACTTAAAAGCGTGAAAAATTTGTTTTTTCGCTGTATTTGTGGTTGAGAAATTTTTCTTCACAAAATTCGTTATGCCATTTGAAAATCCATTTTAAATCGTTCGAACACCTTCGTTTCTCTTGATGCAATTGTTTGCAGCATCAGATGAAGACTAGGAAATAGAATACAATCAAATTATAAATTCCCAATGATCCTTCAGGTTTTTGGGGTCGTTGATTACGAATCTGAAGTCACAAGTCACAATTAGAAAACTCAAAATAGCGGATCGAATATGGAAAATGGAATAAAAAGAATACGGGAATTTAGAAATTTTGTCAAATACTATAAGTACAAAATTTCTAGTAAAAAATATGGATTAAAAAAACCTGACGTTGGTAGGTATTTGTAATGTGATTTTTCTCTTTTTAAACATTTGTCTGCTGCTATTCAATTTCCGAATATCGACGAATATAAATTTCAAAAATGAGGAACAGATATTCGAAAAATTCAAAATTGATTTTCAGATGCCGATACGAGTTTTGTAGAGGAAAATTACTTTGTCATATAACTTAACCTCAGACATAGCGAAAAAAAGAGGTTAGAATATTTCTAACACCTGATATGATAGAGCAATTCTAAAGTCGGATTTGGACTGAATGCGTCGAACACCTTCAGGAAAGTATAGTGTCTGGTTTCTGGTTTAAGATCAGTTGTCATGTGTTATTATATCCAGGCTTTCCAGTGCTTACGCCTAGAGTTTTAATGGGGGAAAAAATGGAATAATGGGAAAAAACTTGATCTTTTTCGTTTTTTCGGATAAAAAATTGGAAAAAAATTGAAAAATTCTATAAATTCAAAACGAAAACTTCCAAAATATATTTCATGATACATTTAATTAACTGGAATAAACCTTAATAAATGTGTGAGAATGGGAATAAACATATTTCAACAAATGCTCTCAAATCTAAAATTAGTAAAACATCAACAACAAATTAACAAAAAAATATATTTTATTTAAAGCAACAAAAATAAACAAAACCTTAATTTTTCATGAACAAACAACGAAAAGAAACAAAATTTCAGTTCTCTATAATTAGAAAAAGGGTTATTAATTTGGAAAACCCGGAATATTAAGATAATATAAGGGAATTCTCATTTCCAAAGAGCATTTCTTCCAGAAATTTTAATAGACCTTTTTAGTAGTGACGTCACAAACGCCAGATAATAGGCAACCTCATAGTATACCTTGTCATGAAGAATTTCTCAATATTTTTACTAGATCGATTTTCGACCTTAAGTACTTTGGACATAAGCGCCAAAAAAAAATGTCTTTGTCATGACTTTAAATATCGTGATATTCTCGCAATATTAGAAATATTTAAGAAGTTTCAAACCCCAAGTTACAAACTAAAAGCATTATAGAATTTATAATTTTAAATTTATAGAACAATATCACTTAAAGAAAAAAAACACTCCAAAAACAGACTGGCACAGCAGAGCACCAAGAAAAACAATAAAAAAATACTTGGCAGAACTAGAAAATGCCAAGATTAAACAAAAAAGAGAAAATACGCTAATGATGACAGCGATATAACATCACATGCGTATGAGGCTATTCTTTCCGGACATGCGCATTAGGAATAACACGGCTAATGTTACATTTTTACTTTATTTAAATTTAGGAATATTTTTTATATCGTTTTTTGTAAGTTTTAAGCACATTAGTATTATTTTACCAAACACGTGTTCTTAAATACTTCTCAATATATTCATTTGAAGTTGTTCGTTTTTATAGTATTTACGTAAATAGTACACAAGGGTCAGATTCGGTCTGTACAATTTCAACTATGACAATTTGTTGCGGATTGCCTAAATATGTGACGTCACACTAAAAGTCTATACAAATGCAGATTATAATACTTTTTCAGCTGACTGTACCGAGTTAGAATACTCTTTCGTGTCGTCTTTGCTGGCGAACGCCTTTTTCTCAACATTTCCAAAACGAACCGATAAGACTCATCCTACACTGCAAAATTTCAATTTCTCCTATTTTTTCAAAAACCTGAACACCAACGCGCAAAAGTCCAAGTTGAAGAGTTTCCTGTACTACTTCGAATGGCTGGAGAACAATGAAAATTCTGATGGGAAATTGAAAATCTATCGACAGGTGAGTTGACGTTTATTTAAAGAAAATATTTTCTTTTCTGTGCCCTAAAGCTTATGTCACACGTGGCGACAAGTCGTGCGACTCCTGTTGTTGACTATTTATAAAGCACATAAACAACTGCAGGTAGAGATAGGTGTTTTTTACTAGGTCTCTGGATTTTGCTGCGCTAACTTCGACTTACAGAAACGGAAAAAGAAGGAGAAGCGTATTCTAGACCCGCAGTTGGATAAAAGTGAAAAGTGACCTAGATATGATCTTCGCACCTATTAGTAAATCGATTCCACTATTATTTTTCCTGGAAATGTTTTCATAGGGATATGAATATCGGCTGAATTTATTTTTTTGACAAGGATACTCATTCCTTTTTTCTAGGAACTCTACTAGCATATTTTTCCTGAATTAAAAGTTATAATTTAATATGCCTGCGTAAACAAGACAAGGTTATCTTTCCATCTGTTAAAGGCGTACAAGTTTTCCACTAAATTACTTTTTTAGCCGCTCTCTGCGGATTACCGACCATAGATCGCAATTAAGATCCAGTTATTTTTATCCTTACATAAAAAACAATTAACTTACATACACTTGCGTCTAAGGGACACAATTTTGCATTCTATTGCACATAATTTATTCCGTATATGTATAATTTATATAAAAAAAACCAAACTAATGAATACATTATTTTCTTTTCATTTGAAAGTAATGACCTCATAAACATTTTCAGCACATCAAGATATGTAAACATTAAATTTCATTGGTTTAGTTGAAAAGCCAATGACTTGTCCATCACTGTTAACTATAAATATTTTAATTCATTTTTGCTTAAGTACAGAGTGGTCACGCAAAAATTGTCTGTTATAATTCGAGATAAATGAGAAAGGTGTAAGAGTTGAACAACTTTTTAACATTATAAAATCTGTGTGATGCAAATAATTGAGTCTTACTAAGATATATAGGTTATGCATGCGCATTAATAATTTTTCAATGAAAAATTGTTTCCAATATTTTTCTAAACATAAATATTTTGTCAAGTTTGGAGAAATGTTACCGATTTTGCGTAATAAAATGAATTATGAGATGTTTAGACCGCAACTGCTTTGGATTATTAGAAAAATGACAGAAAGTTGCATTTCCATTCCATATCCACGATTTTATTAGTCTTTCTCTCAAGTGACGTCATCACATACGCGTAGACATCATATTATATTGCCTACCGATTTAGCAAAAAATAATAACTATTTATTTTAGCTAATTAATAGCTACTATTTTAGCCTTAGCCAAAACCAAAGAGATACAAAATAAAAAAGAACACATTTGAAAATTTCTGTTAAAAGTAGACAACTGTGACAGCTCATTAGCATGTGGCGACACCTATTTGAATAAACAGACTAATGAACTACATAAATGCAATAGGGGTTTCGAATAATCTATAAATATTTAGTTTTATTAATATTTCTTACTCGAGATATATATTTAAATCACAAGAATTTTTGAATATATTTATATTTTTAATAAATTCAAAGAAATTCACCCCAAAATAAATATAAACTACCTAAAAATCATTTAAACTCGTCTTCTGAAATATAATAGGTAATAATTTAATACTTACTTTTCCTATTAAAAATGAAATCTTTCATTTGGAAAATTATGTTTTAAAATATTATATTTTTTAAAGGGCAGTTAAAAAACTATTTCATAAATCAGTTAGTAGTTATAAAATGAAAAAAAAAAAAAATGGAGAAAATATCTTTATATGTGTGTATCTTTATAAATGTGATTTGGACCTAAATTTTTTTACTTTCTATTCAATCTAGACATCACTTTTTTCGGTTTTGTTTAATTGTCTCTGCAACTCATACATTAAAAAAATACAAATACTACAACTTCTATTTTTGCACTTTTTTCATATATGGAAATATACTAGGATGGACAATTTTCATAGAGTGCAATACTTTGGAAATATCTTATTTATTGTTTCTCATTTTCTTCTTTTAGGTGATGAGTAGCAAAGAATGGCTGACTATCGAAGACTGGTTAGAATGTAGTTTACCTCTATGCACCTTAAAAATAAAGCACGATGGAAAGTTGGAAAGATCTGACGATGAGTGCCTACAAATATGTTTCGCAAGTGCCAAAATAGGTGGAAGTGTTTTGACTAACGGTTATACTCAGGTAAAAGTTGCTCTTTCTTTATAAACAACATTTCTTTGCGTTAGTTATTTTTCAAAATAGCAAAACGACGGTTTTGGTTGTCTTTCCAGGAATGCATAAGTTTGGTAACCGCTCCAGAGTTACTGACTGTGCTGCTAAATGTCGAGGCCTTAGAGGACAACGAAGTCCTTACAATTGAAAACGTCAGGCATATTTCGAGAATTTCCGATCCAAAGTTCCGAGCGAACTTGGAAAAACTTGAAATGCCCAAAGAGGTAACAAAAAAAATTTTGCTGAAAAGTTCCATGACTAATTAAATACACTTTTTTCAGAAAACGATCTGCTGTATGGATGCGGACGATTACACCAAACTACCGATTGGCCAGTACGAAGAAGACAACATATTAAGGGAACTGAACAAATGTCTTTTAGGTTTCCAACAAAAACAAACAAAAAACGTGAATCAGGGCCAACCTGTTCTAACAGCAACCTACAATCACAGAAGGCGTTTATCTCCCATCGGCGAATCGATAGGTGAGTACATAAACCGCTTCCGATGATTCTCTTACAATATTTAACCTTAACTCATGAAATTCAGGATCCACTCAATCAGACCCCGCCAGTACCATCCCCATAATAACCCAGCAGTCCTGCAGCACCAACCAGAGCGGATCCGCTTCGCCAATAAGCGACAACAACAACACCTCTACCAGTAGACTCCGGGTGAAGCTAGAAATGGAACGCAACCTAAAGAAACGGGGCCAAGTCACCAACGAAGCTCTCGTCCACAACAGAAGGGGTCGGTTCATAGTCTTGGGCTCTTCAGGGGAATGTTTACCAGTCTCCAGGAGACCTTTAGAAGATGACAGTAGTGAATACTCCAGTTGCGAATCTTCGGAAAGTGAGTTCCACAGTGCCAAAACTAGTCAAGATGATAGCGAAGACGAGAATTTTCACAAGAGGTACAGCATAGATTTGGAGTCTCCAGAACGGAGGCATATTTTTGCTCAGAAGTTGAAGGATGCCTTGAAGAGAGAGATATCGGAGAGCCCAGTGACTTCCAGTGAAGAGAGCTATGCTGTCGGGATATCAGTGACTGGATCTGGAATCCACGACCCAGATATAAAGTAGGTATACACCGAGTCCAAAAAGTGTAATATTGCGAGATTCAGTAATTTCAACCACCACTTATGTCATTTATTTGCTTTTTTGTTTTGTGTAATTGCTTTTCCATTCAATCACTCCGTAATTTCTCTTTTTCTTCATGCATATGTTGGCAATATTTCCATTCATCGACTATGGTAAGGAGCATTATCCATGATAGTCACTACACCAGATTCGATGGGAAGCGGAGATAGAAATAGAATCTTGTAACAATAGAACAAGTGCCAGCACCCAGCCTAAACATATTATTGGAACACTATGCAAAATGAACAGCACAATACAATCTCCACGCAGAGAACATACAAAATTATTTTATCTAATTAAGTAGTGAAACTTTGACTCACTGTTTTACTATTTTGGACCTGAATTTCAGTTTTGTACAATTTGTATTTTCCAAGAGTACTCCACAAAATATGTAGGAATTTTAATGACAGGTTTTCCATAGGGTAAGAAGAGGTGGATCCACCGGATTTGCTCTACAAGAGGACTCTTTGGACGAAGAGTTCTTGGAGCATTCCCTGAACAAAGAGAGACTCTGGATAGACAAATTTAAAAGTAAACAGTGTGCTCTAAGCAGGAAAGAGTCTAACAAATCCTCCGAATATAGTTTCAGCACCGAGTACAGGTAGAAACCTCCGTCATATGTTTAAAAATTTTACAGGTTTGAATTTTAGTTCGGAATTAGAAGAGGTGTATGAGCAGTTCTCTCGTTGGCTGGAGCATCCCATTTTGGAAACTGACAAAGGCACCAAGAGGGAGTTGGACGCGAGGGAAATGGCTGTCGTTCGATTTGCAGGTACAAGAAAGTTACAAAGTGTCAAAGTTTGATTCAGGTGATAAAGACAGATTTAACGTAACTTCACTTTTTATGTTGATCTATAATCGTTAGATGATTGAATTATGCATTTTTAGGATCAATTTTGAAACGCACACTTAGCGAGTCGTTCGCCGGGGTCCAAGTTCCTATGACTGAAGGTTGTGACTCGGGTACGGGAAACTTGGAGGAGTTCAGTACGAAGAAAAACAAATTAGTTTTGAGTGCCAAATCCTTAAGCTTGGAACTAGCTAGACAGAAACATCGACTTGCAGCCCAACTGGTAAGTTAAGGATCTCGAGAGGTATTACTTTAACATGTGATTTTGCTCAATAGGTTTTTAAATTGGGGAGAGGGGGGTTAAGTTTGGATATATAACAATAAAACATCTGTTCAATTTACTAAGAAAATTAGTAAGACCTCCACAATTAAAAGGATTAATTCAAACGGAGTTGACTTAGTCGTCTACTTTTTGCTTAATGGACTTTTTTCACAAATTTTTCCTTAAATTATATTTTCTTCCAATTTTTTTGTCAAGATAAACTGTAGAAACCTACAAAATTAGTTTAAATTTAAAAATTCTAAGAATGCGAAGTATTTTAAATTCTTACACTTTAAACCTGTTTTTTGTACTTTTCTAAAAAAATTTTGACAGACTACAGACAATCAAATGATGGCTTCTTGGGAAAGTAAAAAAATTATGAAATTGACAGTTAAATTGATTATTTTTGATTCGCTACAGTTTTCCATATTAAAAAAATGCTGTTATTTATATTTTTTCCAAGACAGTTAAAGAATGTTGCCAGAAAAGCATAAACATAATCAAATACAAGACTAAAAGTTTTTCTATGAGAGTGATTCAAAATTAAAACAATAGATGTCTCCCTTTTCCTATTCTCCCTAAAATCTCTAGGTTGACTAAAATACCGCAATCAATGTTCTTGTTTGCCCCAAAATGGCGGTTTGACACAAGTCAATTTGTACTATTTATTAAAACTTATTATTTATTGAAAATTCAAACATATTTCCAGGTTAGCAATAGGGATTTTACCCCAAAACGACAGTTGATAGCGGTACGTTATCACTATCCAGGAATTTTAATTCTTCCTAAAGTGCCTAGATTGACCAAGTACAACAATCAATGTTCTTGTTTGACTCAAAATGGCGGTTTGGCATATATACAAGTAAGAAGTTTGAGTGCCATTATTTCATGGCTACACAGCTGGTGCATACCACGTGTGCATGCGGCAGACTTGTCCTACGGAAAAAATGTAAACAACTATTATTGTGAAACATTTAGTAAATTTCAAGACAATGCTTTCTAGTTTTTAAATATTTAAATTAAAATGTATAGATTTTGTAGTACGAAAATAGTGTTGTGGTTAAATTTTAGTTGGAATTTTAGTAATCACGAATCTCTTAAAACAGGAACTTGACTTTTAACCAAATTATGAATTCGAAAAATATGTAATTAAAGTACCCAAAGATTCACGTCATCCAAATAATCATACGAATTAAATATAATTTAAGTCCTTACCAAAAAGCAAAATTCCGTCATTTTTAAACGCACAAGTACAAAACAAACTACAACATAAGTTCAAAATGTCCAACACCTTTTTCAATGTACGCACGATACCTTCGAATCCAATTTTCGCGCACTCGTTAGAAAACACCTCAAGAAAAAGAAATAGTGGTACGCAAAAAACACTCAGACACGGTCCAATTCCAAATACTAATTGACAGCTTAGTACCTCGTATTATCCGTGTGATAAACATTGCATTTTATGGTATTCTATGCACGCAGTTATGTCAATATTCCTTAATTTGAACTTTTGTACATGAAATTGGAGATCTATATATATATTTTTTTCAGAAATGGTTGAGTTTAGGAGTGTCATAAGAAGGTTTTTTTGTTTATTTTAATGTATTCTATCGTCTGTTAAAATTAATGCAGTCAAACTTCTATCACCCTGTATAAAATTATCCAAATGTAATTGTAGTTCATTTAAATAAAAATATTTCTATATTGCATAATAAAAATTAATTGACTGCATAGAAACACATTGAAAATTAAGACTTGTTTTTCAAGGATGACGATAGGAGGTCACCCCGATCAAAATGGCAGTTGATCGGGGTGCCTTATCTATATCTAGGAACTTTAATTCTCTCTTTTCACTATCGTCACTGAAGGAATTTTAATTCTCACAATAAAAGTTATTGCCTTTATTAATGTTATTTTGACAAATTAAGGAGGTTTATCTGATTTGGAATTGACGAACAAATATTCATAAAAAAATCAATATAAGCTTATTATCCTCAAAAAAAATTATGACTAGTTTGGATACCTAAGAGACGAGATATTAATAAAATAACTTTACACGATTTAGTACAGAGTCTTATGAGAATGCAGATTTTTTTGGTCTTTCCACTTAGAATGCGCAACAATTGACGAACAGTTTCCACAGCAACTTGTATAAATAGGAAACTGATATCTAAGGAACCGTATGACAGCTTGTAGAAATCGATTAGGTGCTTGTAAGATACATAATTTATAATAATTCTCCTTCAAACTTCTGTCGTTGACTAACTTATCCTCCATATGCGTGATAGCGGCAACGCTGCGGTCTCGACGTAGCGTATTATTTGAAATTCGCAGGTGTCCAAACAAACAGAATGATCGAACGGGAGCGAGCGAACGCCGAGCCGAGCGCGCCAGCCAAGTGCAACATTGCCAAATCTAAAAGCTTACTACTTTAGTCACTAGCGAATCTACAGAATCTTTCGTTAGACTTTAGACGTACCTCCGTACCCGATAAACCTCCTTAACAACTACAAGTCTGTCTTCAATTTGATTTGTTCTTGAGAGAAATTGCAATGGGATAAATGTGGCTTTTATTTAAATTTAGGAAATATAATGTAGAAATAAATATAATCTTTGAATGGTGTGTAATTCATTCAATTAAAGATGAAATTTACACTAGTGAGAAGGGTCCATAAAAAATCTAAAGTTCAAGTCACAACGAACGCCTTTCAAATTATACCAGTTTGAATTAATCCTTGCCCGAATCTAATTTTCTTAGGGGAAATGGCATTCTGAAATAAAGTGTTGTTAACAGAGTGACGAGCCAGTAGAGCCCGATTTAGCGGCTGAGAGCGTTTCTCCTCCATTAACAAACAGTGACGCTTTAAATCGAAATAGTCTAACAAAAAAGCGTAGAGCTTGGTTCTTGTCTTGTGTTAATGAGGCCATTATCCAAACTTTGGAAGATATTTCTGTAAATGTCAGTTTGCCACAAGTCGAAAAGGTAAATAGCCGGTAAACTATACCTAACTGCTAAGGTGTGATTTTGCTCCTGTAAATAACCTTCCACTGACGTGCACGAATACAGAGCCAGTTTAAGGATGAGATATACTAACTGCCCCGTAGCTTCTCTTTGATTCCAAATGTTTGAAATAGCGCAACCTAAGGAATGTAACAGTATTGGGACACATACTGACGTCTTTTTTTTTGTAATCCAAGTGAAGGCAGGCCAAATCCCCCTCCTTATTTGGATTGCATGCTATTTTGAATGCAATGAAGACAGCATGTTTCAGTATCACAATAAATACGAAATTATTTTGTACATTTTCAAAATACACAGCAATGTATAAAAAATGAATAGCATTTTTAACTTTAAAAAATATTTTTTATACAAACACTTGTTTTTGAGGCTCTCAAAATAAAGGGTGTAGTTTTGTTTTAAAGAAAATTGTTACATCTCCGAATATTTTATGAACAATTGGAGATAATGAAATAAAATTTTGTATGCACGACATATTAATAAAATGACATTAGACCTGAAAAAATTAATTCAAGGTCAAACTACTGATTACCTTTTCATTAAAAATTATTGCACACCACTGGAAAATGTCACTGGTGGCAAATGAAAATAAAAATGGTTATACCTACGTATTTTAATGAGCAAGTATGGGGTCTATCTTGGCACAAACAATTTTGATGAAATTTGGGAATAAAAAAATAAAATAGAAGTTGTCGACCCTGATAGATTTTGAAAAGGGTATCCATAATATACAGGGTGTTTATTAAATACTTGTACAAACTCTAAAGGGTGAATCTTTTACTAATTTTAAAGTAAAAAGTTCATATGAACATGAGTCTGCAATGGCTTGGTTCTTGATATAGAGCGTTCAAAAATAATTTTTGTTTCAGCAATTATTGTAAATAATATGTTATTAACTTATTTGTAGCAGTACTTTAGTCTTACAATATATAATCAATAAAATACACATTTTTTCACTTGTTTTTCAAAAATTCTACCGCGGGTTTAACTTTAAACCTGTTTTTTATGAAATGGCTGCTTTCAGCAACAAATACTAAGAGTACCTTTCGTATGTAAAATTGAATGGAGAATAGGTGCGTTTAGTCAAAAATGAGATACAGTGCAACACAAAAAAGTTATGGTTATTTAAGTCCAGGTACAACACTGAATGTGGCGCCCTCTAACATTAAACAAAAAACTAAGTAAATATTTGTGTTTCTCATTATCAATACTCCCATTTTCCCAAATTTCATCAAATCGCCATGTTACTTAACAAAAATTAATTAAAATACCAAACAAAAATTTTTTTTGGTCACTATATCTCAAGAACTTATGAACATATGAACTTTCTATCTTAAAATTAGTTAAAGATTCACCCTTTAAAGTTTGTACAAGCACTTAATAAACACCCTGTATGTGCAAAATATCAGGGTGTTTGTAAATAAGTGCGAAATATTTTAGGGGGTGTTGGCCGAAGTTATTTTGTGAAAAAAGTTCATATAAAGGTAGGTCGAAATATGCTTCGTTTCTGAGATACAGAATGTTTAAATTTAAATATTTATTTATTTTTATTAATTATTTCAGTTTTAAAAGATTTTAACTTGAAATTTGAAAAATGCTTTGGATGAATAAATATGCATTTTTTGGGGTAATCCGAATATTTCAACAAGCACCTTTAAATAAAAGATTAACAAAACCTATAATAAAATGTTTTATTTTTTCCTCAAAAACGGCGCATCCTACGAAAAAAATTGAAGTGACCAATTTCATTCAGAATTGATGGCAGATTTCTATAAAAATGGGATGGGAATGGGATATATTAGTGGGGTACCATTTTTTTAATTAAAAAAGGTTGTGGCATTCTCGCGTGACCGCCACTGGTGCAAGTAGAAATATTCGGATCACCCCAAAAAATGCACATTTATCCTTCCAAAGCGTTTTTCAAATTTCAAGTCAATATCGTTAAAACTGAAATAATTAAAAAAAAAATAAATAGAAAATTAAAATTTAAACACTTTGTATCTCGGGAATAAAGCATATTTCGACCTACGTTTATATGAACTTTTTTTCACAAAATAACTTCGGCAACATCCCCCTAAAATATTTTGCACTTATTTACAAACACCCTGTATATTTTCCCAAAGAGAACATCAGGGTGGACGAAAAGTTCTAATAGGTGGTTCGCCCTCACAGAAACTAGTCCGACAATAACAAGGGTAAGTCAAAGATTCGTGGCTAAGGTTAAGAAAGTGAAAGATAATTCTATAACTGGCAGCGACACGGGCTATGGCATAACAACCCAAAAAACCATCATACCGTAACTACCGTACCTCATCTACATCACTTAGTTGAGCTAAAAATTATTTTTTTTTTTGTGTTAAATGCCATTTTTATTCATGTTTATAGAAAAAAAAATTTGTTTCAATATTTTCAATTGTTCAGAGGCAATTTTTTTTCTTGACAACTTGGAAACAACACCCTGTATATCAAAAACGAAGGCTTCAAAGACAAGTGTTTATATGAGAAAATATTCTTAAATTTTGAGGAAAACACTCCGTCATTTACAAAAAAAAACAGTAATTTCACCAAGAATCCTAGTCAGAAAATCTGAACATAAAAAACATTTATAAAACCATTTTTCTCAGAACATCGCGTCAATAACTTATGACCTCATAATAATAAACATAGATTTAGAAACTATTGAAATTGGAAATTTATACGAAAATTAATATGCCAAACACAAACATCAAATTTACGACCGTCTTCTTTCAGTTATCCCAGATATCGACACAGAAATCGAAAAACGGTCTCAAGCCTATATCGACGGGCAACTGGGGCTGCGGTTCTTCGAGAAAAGGCGACGTCCAACTCAAAGTGGTAATACAGTGGCTGGCGGCGAGCGTGGCGGGAGCCCCTTCTGTAACCTATTACACCTACGGCCACCAGCAGCTGGTGAAGCTGGACACGGTGTGTCGAATACTGGTCGACAGGAAATGGACCGTTAAAGACTTGGCTGAGGCGACTTTGAGGTACTGCAGCCACGTGTTGCAAGGGAAGGAACTCAGTGGGACTTTGTTCGAGGAACTGATAGGTGTTGAGCGGACGATATAGTTGCTTTTTTATATTTGCGAGGTTTCAAGCATCTAGTCATTACGAGTACAGTGTTACATATTGCTGGTGTGTATTTTACAGAGGATTATTTTAAATATGCCCAAATTTCTATAAATCGAGAAGTTTGTTTTTAATCAAGGACAAATTTTGTTATTTGTGTCATTTTTTCCAAAGCAATAATGACTAGCACGTTGCAGATTTTAATCTATGAAATGCACACCAATATTCATTAAAAAATTAACTAAGGAAGTAATGTGACGCATTTAACAAATGAAAATGAAAATTCCGAGTGAGAAAATTGTAAAAAACAAGAACGCTTCTTCTAAAATTTGCTCAAAACGTTTCAGTTAGTGTTTTGGGGTGTACGCAGTATTTGACAATGAATGAACACTTCAAGGATAGCTTTGTTGACTGAAAATAGACTTTAGACAATCTTCCTTCCTTAAAAAGCCGGTGCTTCAAATGTTTTTTTTTTCATTTTTTAAATTAATAAAATTTAGTATGAGAAGGTTTTTAGGGTACCTGGAGAAAAACATTACATAATTTTTTTGTTAAAAACTTGGATATTGTGTTGTCAGTTTATTTACTGTCGTTACCCACTGCTTCGTACCTACTGGCAGATAGTAACCTACTAATCTGTAAGTACTATAAAAGCACGACTAGTGTTGCACTAGACGAAATAAGCTTTTTAATTAATTATTATACAGGGTGATTCACATATGGTGAACAAAAATGAAACCTCATATTCTTTGGTGAACTTTAAGGGGTCTTTCCTATAAAGTTTTTATCTAGGACGCTACGTTAAAAAGATACAGGGTGTTAAAACTTCAAAAAAATGTTTTTCATTTTTAATAATAATTTATTATTATTATTATTTTAAATAATTTAAAAACTAATAAGTGAAATAATTTGAAATTGGGCACAAAATCTGAGGGCTTCTCCTAAAATTTACATGCCCCAGTGGCGGAGATACAGGGTATCGGTGGCATATTTTTCCAAATAAAATAGTACACCACTGCTTTACGGTAACAACCATGATATTTTCGGATTCGTCTTTCAATTTTCTACAAATTACTACTCTTTTGTTTTTCGAAAAAGCCCGATTTTCGAGTAAAACTTTAAAAACCAACTGAAAACACTTACTTAAATAACGACACTAACCATTCGGTTATTTATTTGAATAAAGAAATTAATAACATTAGTCATAATTTTAATGATTTTATTTCAGTAAATGCTTAAAAATATCTCCATTTCTACGAACACAGGCCCGAGATCTTTTTAGTAACGAAAATGTAATTTGTTCGAAATTTATTCTTGCTTGAATCTGATGAAAAGCATTATTTATTCTTTCTTCTAACTGCTCAGAATGTCAAAATTGCTAACGCAGCTTATTATGTAATTTTGAAAAGCATTATAATCGAATATAGAAGTGTGTTCTCAGTTAGTTTTTTCGAAAATCAGGCTTTTTTTCAAAAAACATAAGTCATAATTTGTAGAAAATTGGAAGACGAATCCGGAAATATCATGGTTGTTACCGTAAAGCAGTAGTGTACTATTTTATTTAGAAAAATATGCCACCGATACCCTGTAACTCTGCCACTGGAGCATGTAAATTTTAGGAAAAGCCCTCAGATTTGGGATAATGTTTACATAAATACATTTGCCCAATTTCAAATTATTTCACTTACTACTTTTTTATTTAAAAAAATTAAAAATATTTTTGGAAGTTTAACACCCTGTATCTTTTTAACGAAGCGTCCTAGATAAAAACTTTGTAGGAAAGACCCCTTAAAATTCACCAAAGAATACGAGGATAAATTTTTGGTCACCATTTGTGAATCACCCTGTATTGGGGGAAACAACCACTCTGCAGGCTACAGCCTCGTCCAGCATTGAAGAAAAAGCAGCAGATATAGACCGGTTTCGAATTTATTATTTCTCGTTTATGGTATGCTGATGAGAGCTAATAATTTCGAAATCACAAACCTGTTTATGTCTGACAATACTGCTGACTAACTATTTTAGCTACTTCCTAGAAATTGTAGGTGCAATTCAATGTTGTACAGGGCCGTAGCCAGCAGAGTAGTTCTTTCGCACAAAATCACTAGTTTAAAAGATTTGAAGGTATCTTAACCTCACTAAACTTCACCCTTTTTGATAAATTTGTACGTTTGCTAAATTTTCACTGCAAGTTGAATGGACTCGATTTAATTTCATCTGAGAAGCTAGCCTTGAAGTACGACTCACTCGTTTCCAAACACCCCGTATTTTAATCGATGTTTACACCCAAATCATCATTACTTTTTAAGTTAATAAACGAACAAAAAAATAATAGCATAACTGTAACAATGCGATGATTACAAAAAAAATGTGCCACTATAAACTGTTTAATATAAAAGTAAGTATTTTTGTATCGCTATTAGGATACAAGAACTTGTTTTTGAAAAAATCACCGTTGAAGCAGAAGCAGCAGTTCTGTAGTGCCAAATATATGGGATTTGTACAGTCTTCCTGTTATACAAACCGTTTTATATAAAATTTTGATAACGCAAAAAGACATCTTGTAATGGAGGATTGTTTATAACTACTATTACAGATTTTAATAAACACGTGAACAATGAACTAGTGCAACTTAAAAGAATATGCCCCTCATCCTCCTCCCCAGTCCTTGCCTGTCGTACAAAATGTTGAATTTATTTACGAACTGATTGAGGTCGTTGCAGCCCTTCGTGAGTGTCCCCAGGTAGGTCATCAGCCCCACGTCGTTGCATTGCTACAAAACGAACATTTATTTAGTACAAAATGTCCGATTTGTCTAACAGGGAAATAGAGAAGCATATGCAGCGAGAGAGCTATTAAAAAAATGCAGCAATAAGTGCCTATAGAATCAGCAACACTTTCTTCAAATTCTAACAATGCACCAATGTTTGTCTTATACAGGGTGTGGTATTTTAGCGAATAAAATAAATATCACTTCTGTGCCAATTCATCACGCAGACGTAAGGAGCATCAGCTTCTCGCACCTGCAGAAATTTTGTGAATAAAGCATGACCTCGAGCATGACACACTAAAGTGTAATTAATGTTTTAATTTCATTTAAATTAAAAATAATATTTGCAGGTAAAGTAATTTTTAAGGTCAGGTCGACCATAAATTCAGCGAAGTGAAGTTGCAGTAGTTCATTTGTATCTCTGTAAGTAGCATTGTTACAGGGACAATTCCAGAACTACAAAATTTACAATCATGTAAATATATTCCATATAACAGCAGTTAGGAGTCTTGTCTGTGGGGTTAAATATCTTTTACATACCTAAGTTTTTGGTATCGAAGAACTTTGATCGAGTTCATTCGATAATGTTTAAAAAAATATTACAAAAATTTATACTGTATTTGTTTGAATTAGTTTGAGACTGGCGTCTTATAGACAAGAAATTGCACTTTTAGTAAGACAATAATGGAATAAGAAAACTAAAAATGTTGAAATACAAGCATTCTTTTAATTTTTCACAGAGAAAGATCTCGGAAAACATGGGCATCAGAATGTACCTTTCCTGTTTTGTCGAGAATTTTGTAAAAAATACTCGATAATTATGATTAATTCATGTGTAACAGTTTCATAAAAGCCTTCTGTGGGGTTTATAGGCCAGTTAAATTATCGAACATACCTAGTTTTTTTGACAAAATTTAGTTCAATAAACAAAGACACGTTAAAATTAGAAAAACTTCTGTGGAATTGAATCAACTACTTTACCCCAGCTGAATGTTAGGGATTAATTTTCAAAATGGCGTTCAAAGGTCGCAAAAAACAATTTTTTTCATTAAAAGAAAGCTAAATACTTAAAAAATATATTTTAGACAAAAAACTTTTTTAGCAAAAATGTTGAGTCCAACCCGATGTCAATTGATAAACAAATGTATTAATTATTGTAAAAAAATGGCTTAAATTGCATTTTTTTTAAATTTTATCTTTAAAACAGAAAAATATTTTTTTACAAAACTTTCAGAACATGTAGTCCCTGGCAAATATGACAATTGCATTTTTGTAAAATTGCAAAATATTTGAGTTTTTGAAAAAATTGAGTTTTTCGAAAAAAAAATCAAATTTCAACAAATCATACAGTAATGCATTTACGATGCCTATATTGGACTTAAAATTTTTTATAAGAGTTGTACTTTCCTGTGCAAATTGTGCGCATATTGCAAAATAATTGGAAATATGCGAAAAATCTACAGAAATTTTGACTTAATTTTTCGGGTCGAAAAATATATATCATTTTCTTATCGTTGAAATTTAATCGGAATGGTATTATTGCCAGTTGAAAGCTAACATTTTTTTCACAAATTTAAAAAAGATGTCCTACGACCAACAAGAGCCGAAAATTTTTTTTAAAAATCGCTACGGCCTTATTTATTAATATTAAGGTCTGAAAGAGTGACCGCAAAATCCGCCTGTTTTTGAGACTTTGACAGAGGCGACAGGAAAAATTCTAAAAATATTCTAAAAATATCCAAAAACTCGTCATGAAAAATGAAAATGAGCATCACTTTCAGTTTTTCGAAATTTTTGGAAAATAACCCTTATTTAGGGGTTGAAAAGACAAAAAAAGTGAACAAATTAAGAATCATCAACAGTTGTAAAACCCCAAATATTTCTATGTTGTTAACAAAATAATATTATGAACATGAAAATATCTAATTTCGTGTTTGATACGGTCTTGTCCGGATTGAAAATCAACCCTTAATATCCCTAGAGGTGAAATCATCCCCTAAATGCCTAAAAGTGTAAAAATTTTTAACTTTTAATATATTTTTTGCATTTTTAGGCGTTTAGGGGGTGATTTCACCCCTTTAGGGATATTAAGGGTTGATTTTCAATCCGGACAAGACCGTATCAAATGCGAAATTAGATATTTTCACGTTCATAATATTATTTTGATAACATAGAAATATTTGGGGTTTTACAACTGTTAATGATTCTTAATTTGTTCACTTTTTTTGTCATTTCAACCCCTAAATAAGGGTGATTTTCGAAAATTTTCGAAAAACTGAAAGTGATGCTCATTTTCATTTGTCATGACGAGCATCTGGATATTTTTAGAATATTTTTAGGACTTTCCCTGTCGCCTCTGTCAAAGTCTCAAAAACAGGCGGAAAGATGGCTTTTTTGCGGTCACTCTTTACATATGTAGTTAAACACTTTTACTTCAATATAAAAAATAGTCCGCAATGATTGACCCCCTTTTTTTACAGTAAACTTAATCTTGTTGGGCCTCTGTTAGACACGATGCGCGTGATGGGGAAGGAGAGAAAGTCTGTGACTCAACGTTTTCAGTTAGTGCTTGGCATGCCTGCTCAATTTTGAACAGTTGCTCAGATATTGAAGAAAAAAACTGCAGTTTTTGAGACATCGTGTCAAGCGGAGCAAGTATTTTATGGGGCCCAAAATTTACAGTTAAAAAAGGGGGTCAATCATTGCGGACTATTTTTTATAATGAAGTAAAAGTATTAAATTACAACGTGTGTAAATTTCAGACCTTAATATTGATAAATGAGATCATAGCGATTTTTTGAAAAAAAAAAGTTTTCTCGGCTCCTGTTGGTCGTAAGACATTTTGTTAAATTTGTAAAAAAATGTTGACTTTGAAATGGTAATAATGTCATTCCGATTAAATTTCAACGATAAGAAAAAGGTCTACATTTTTTGACCCGAAAGAAGTCTACATTTTTTGACCCGAAGAAGTCAAAATTTCCGTAGATTTTTCGCATAATTCCAATCATTTTGCAATACACGCACAATCTGCACAGGAAAGTACAACACTTAGAGAAAATTTTAAGCCCAAGATGGATCATGTAAGTGCATTACTGTATGATTTATTGAAACTTGAAAAAAATGTCTTTTTTTTCGAAAAACTCAATTTTTGCAAAAATTGTTAAATATTTTGACAATTTTACAAAAATGCACTTATTCTACTCGCCAAGAACTACATATTCTGAAAGTTTCGTAAACTTTAAAAGTAGCTTACAGAATTATAAATTTACAGAGAAACGCAGGATCGACCCATTAACTTTCTTGATAAAACTTAGGAAACCGTATTTTAATTTTTATTCACTATAAACGCCACATCCTGTATACAGGGTGTTCCAGAATAATGTAGCATAAAATTTAAGAGCAACAGATTATCAAATGAACAATGGGTCTAACCCATCCAACAGACTCATAATAGTTCACACGAAAAACCTTATTTTGTGATGCTCTACATTGTTCTGAAATACGCATAAAAAACAAACCGGAAACTCACAATACGCATTTATCAAATGTAGGTAACACTTACGTTATAGAAATCTTGCCTGAACCGTGACCCGTGGATGACCGGCAGCCGGTGGCACAAAGAGTAAGCCTCTCTAAGTATTTCGTGGTTCCTGGGCAGCTGCCCGTTTTGTACTGCCTTCATGTATTCCAAAACGAGGCGCACTCTCGAGTGCAACATCTTAATAGCACTGTACTGGGCAGTTAAATGTTCCGCAACCAAAGAACTCTCTCCGGAATCGGTGGAGGTCATCCTCGCAACATGGTCCACCCCGATACGTTCGGCTTCTTCGGTGGCTAGAGTGTAGGTTAGAGGAACGAACAACATTGTGGCCTCGCCACTCACTAAATCTATCACAGACTCGTATAAATTAACCGGTAAATGCTGAAAATCATTACCAGGTTAATGTTATGTATTTTTAAATAGTCGTTACTCAGTACCTCTATATTTTTATCGTAAGGATTTAACTTTAACAAAATCGGAGATTCATTGATTTCACAGATTTGCTTATGTACTTTTATATCTGTTGAACTAGGGGTGTCGCCTGTTGTATACCATCCAATGAAGTCCATATCACTAAATACTTGTTTGACTAAAATAAAAAGTAGTTTGTAAGTGCTTTTAAACAATTTTCTATATACATACACTGTTCTTCTTTCATGTTGTAATAATCCCTATCGATTACTATATCACCTCCAATAACTGTAAATACTAATTCAAATGAATTCATGATTTCGATGTTTCTTCCTTTTTGTTTGCCGATTAGTGCTCCTATCACTAAAATCTTAGGTTAAAATCTCAGTTGCACTGTAATTAATTGGTTTTTACCTTGCTGAACGGCACCCTCTTGAGCCCTTTCTCTAGTCCAATGTTCAGAGACATTCATAATAACAAGGGGGTGCAGGGAACAAGTAATTGAGCCAACAGCTCCAGATGCCATGACATTTTTGCCAGGGTCTGTTGTGATGTCCATAGAAGATTTGCCACTTTCTGCAATGGAAGCGGTTTCTACTTCCATCGCCATTCCGTCTTTTGAGGCACTCATTGTATCTGGTTTTTAAATTTTACTTCCCTCAAATGTGTATGAAATGTATTTATAAATTACTGTCAAGTGTCAACTTTTAGACAGCTCACTGCTCAGCTCAAACCATAAACCAACGAATTCGCATTGTAAACAGAAATAACAGAATGCTCATGTTATTTTATTGACCGATTGCTGTATTCAATGAAAAGCTAGCAATTGAGACCTTACTTTTTTTATATTATAAAAGTTCAATAATAATTTGATAAATGAAGGTTTACTTTTATCTAAATTTTTAATCAGTACCAAAATAAATTTATCCTCAGAAATAATCAATCACTGAAATGAAAATGAACTTTTCACGGACAAGTTGTTTTGTAGGTGGCGCTGGCGTCTGCAAAATATCAACAATTGAAGTCCTGTTCTGTTAGTTGCATACTTTTATGGACGCTGTTAAGAATTGAATTTTGAATTCAAAACTTTTCTTTTAATTAAAATCTTTTTGTAGTGAAGTGAAAAAAGCAGACACATGAAGTCTTCTTAAAAAAATTTATGAAATTAAAGTATATTCACTGTTTGTTTTATAAATTTATTGCTTATTTTTTACATGATTTAGATGCACAATAAAAAGTACTATACACTTTATTTTTCATCTTCAGAATCATCAAAATCTGAATCACTAAAATCATCCATGTCATTCAGTTTGAGAGAGTTTAATTTGTGCATCAGCTCGTCTTTTTCATTTTCTTGAGCTGAATCATTTTTACCTTCTTTTGATTTTTTCTCCATGTATCTGAAGAAAGTTCTTCGTTTTCTTTCGGGTAGAGCTTGTATTAAAGCTTTCAGTTCATTATCCAACTTTATCTAAAATGAAAAAACAAATGAATACAGTAAAGTGTACAATTTTTAGAAACTTATAATTTTACCTGTTCTTTTTCGCTTGGTTCCGCTTGTACAACGTCTTTATTTTGGCAACACTTAGTACATAATCCTAAAGTTTTTCCACAATCTCCGCACATAACATGATAAGCTTGCTTAACACTCTTTTGTCCACACTTCACACAAGTCTTTGGTTGCGTTAGCGGTTTGTATTTCTTGTATTTAATTTTCCATTCTATAATTTCTTTGCATCGAACACAAACGCTACTGACTTGGATGCTATTTACCAGTTTCGTGCGTTGGCTAGTATCGTGAAGATTGTTTTTAAACACGCTTTTGTTTTTATGCTTTTGAGGTCGTGTCCTAGACGTGTTCCCTTTCTGTAAACTCATATTCGAATTGTCCCTGAAAATAACACTCATTTAAAAAGTAATAAAATTTGTTTTGTTCTTTAAATCACTAATTTATTTGCAAATTCTATTACATCGGTCTTAATTCACACTGTTTAAAATGGAATTACGGTTAATTCTCAACAGTTCCAATTCTATTTCCCTATTCTGCTCAAACTCTTTCTGTAGTAAAGTGTTTAACTCCTGGTATTTTGTAGCGACTAAGTCTAATTTGTCTGTCGTTCCTGTCACAAAAGACACCAAGGAATCATCGGTCATCATTTGCCCTATGGTGTTAAATACGCTCATATAATCGTCTAGTTCCTTACTTAACTCAGCTGCCAGTGTTCTGTAGGGCGGGAGTTCATCCCAAAACTCCGAGAGAGGTCCAATTTTTGAGGCAGTTTCTGTAATCTCAATTTGCTTCGTGAGGCAGCTACGGTACTCTTGACATACAACTAAAACAAAGTCCTTAAGTGTATCCATCAGCACAACGATGGCTACGTCTCCTTCTGCGCAGGCTTCTCTTAGGCCATCTTCCACGTTAATTTTAGTCCTTTCTTCACTTTTAAGGGCAACACAGCACAGTTGGGAGCCTATCAGTACTTTAGCTCTTGCCAAAATAAAGGGTTTCGTGTGATATATTGTTGCGTTAATGTTTCTCTTTCGAAAGTACTTTGTTAGGTTCCTCAAGAATCTAGGATTAAGGGATCTCAACATCACATATGACAAATTCCAGTTCCCCTGAAATATTTTTTCTAGTTCTTGTTATTTATTTACTTTAATAATTTAGTGATTTGGTTTTGTGAGTTTGACATTTTCATCGATGACATACATGTAAGAGAAACATGAAAAACATTGATGTTAGTTGAGAATTGCAAAGTTAGTTTATTAAATTATGTTTTAATACGCAATACAGTTATTTTTATAAATAATAATAGTATATATAGTTAGTTGTGTGAAAACAAGAAAAACGTGCTAATTTTGAATTTCCCGCATTAAATGAAGTAATACGCGACATACGTATATCGTCTATCCTCTCTCGTGTGTTAAAATAAGTTCTAATCGTATCTAGACGTATGTGTGTGATAAGGTAACACTTTAACGCGATTTTGTGACAATCATAAGCTAACCTCAAAAATAAAAAACTTCGGACATGATCTAAATTCGCAGTGATATTCTCGCAGAATGAATAAATTGGCTAAAATCGGAAGAATTTACAGATATATGTTATGCAAGCATCCCATTATAACACAGTCGATTCAAACTGGCCTTTTGATGGCATCCGGGGACGTCATAGCTCAAAAAATCATCGAAAAAAGGTGCGAATTAAATTCCCTCCGGACCGCTCAATTTTTTGCTCTGGGTACCGTGGTGGTGGTAAGTGTAATTTTACTTACTTGGACAAATCAGATATATTTATTATTGGACTTCAGGGCCCGGCGGTGACAGTGTGGTACAAACTCCTGTCGAGGTTGATCACCGATCGCGGTAAATCGGCGGCTCTCAAAAAGATGGCACTGGACCAACTGATATTCGCGCCAACTTTCTTGGCTGTTTTTATCGCCCTGCTGAACAGCATGCAGGGGAAAGACCTGGATTTTATCAAGAAGGAATTGAGCTGCAAGTACAAAGATATTCTAATTAGCAATTACAAGTTGTGGCCGACGGTGCAGCTGGTCAACTTTTATATGGTGCCATTGATGTTCCAGGTTCTTTTCACTCAAATTGTGGCATTGATTTGGAACGCATACTTGTCGTGGAAAACGCAACAGGGAGTTGCTGATAAAGATGGTGAGGAAGATGATGACGAAGATGATTAAAAATACGTTTTCACCTTAATTAATTTGGACAGTATTAAATGACGTGATTATTCTTAAATTCAGGTATTTCTTTATACATAGTTTTTACATATACCTATTTTAATAAACTGGTGAAATGTCAGCTTTGGTACTTTAATAGTGAAACCGACATATTTACACCAAATTTTGCCGTTAAATACAAATAGAAACTATTATTAATATAAGTTCAGGGTCTAGTGAATTTTAAACATATATTTATTTTTCGAGTTGTATACCTACCTTTATACTATTTTTGCTAGGTAAAATTTATTACTTTATTTTTCTATAATGTGCCTCGTATATGTTCTCTTAAATTGCATTGTAATAGTATAAATAAGATATTTGTTTAATAGGTTTTATTTTAAATAACAGGCTACATAAAAAATTTCTGTTATTTTATTTTGCAACTTTTGAGTTCAGTGGCGTTTCTTGAGTATACGGACGCTTCTCTAGGTCTTTTACTGACCAAATTGTAAAAGAATGTTTATTTCAATTATTTATTGCATTTGTTTTTTTTTATTTTAAGCATTTAATTTTGAACATATCCATTTTTCGTAGAAGTAAGTATTTGTTACTTTTGTTCTGGAAAAATAAATTATTAGGTAATTAGTTTGCAGTTTTTCTTACATCTTCATGATTTATTTATACATATAACCTTTTTAGTCCGGTCAAATTAGTCATAAAAATAATGGTCAAATAACGAAAATTCCGACAGAGCTAAATTTTGGTGGAGACTTTGGGTACACCGTTAGAAATAAAGTGTCAAAAGTCCCCACCGATCCCATGTGTGCTAAAAAAGTTATTTGGGGTCAAAATTCAAAATTTCAGGTTTTTTGGATTTTTTTCGAAAACGGTAAGTTTTATCAAAAAAGTAGTTCAGACAAAAATTATAGATCTGAAAATTATCTACAAAAATGGTCACAATCAAATGGGAACAACCATTCCTGAGATCGCGATTCTAAAAGTTGAAGAGTCACGTTCTACATGATATGCACATATATGCCACGTATATACATAGTCAGTCACTTAATACAAGTAAAAATGCCTATTTGTGTCTCTTGTATGTATAAACTATACTATTCTGAGAATATACACCCAAAAGAAACTCAGTCCCTTAATCAAAATGACACAGATGTCCTTATAATTGAAACAACAATAGAATAATTTAATGCAACAAACACAACTACTGTAGTTGGTGAAGATGTTGACTTATTAATACTACTCACTACTCACTGCAAGGACTCCAGTTGATAAAATTATATACTTCTTAAAACCTGGAAAGGCTCAACAGCGAACAGAAATATATTCTTCAAAAAGTTTATCTGCTTATCCAAAATGCCAAAACCATATCTTATTTTTACATGCGATAACCGGCTGCGATACTACATCAGCAATGTTTAGAAGGGGTAAAATATCAGTATTAAAATTATTTGCAAAAAAGATTTGATTGATTGTAGAAATTGATTCTTCACCTCAAACAATAATCACAAAAGGAATTCGCTTTCTCCTTGCTGTTAAGGAGCTCCAAAAAAAATTGATTGTATAGATAAATATAGATATTTAACTTCTGTAAAAAATACACGAAATAAGAAACAAGTACAACTATCTTGTCTTCCTCCAACATCGGCTTCTGCTAATCAACAATTGTATCGAGAATACTATCAAGTTCAGACATGGCTAGACAATCAACTGAACCCAGAAGACTGGGGTTGGAAATTAACAGATAATACTTTGGAACGGATTCAAACTTTACTTCCACCTGCTCTGGAAAAACTCCTAAACACTATTTTTTGCAATTGCAAAAAAGGTTGTAGTGCTAAATGTGGCTGTAGAACTTGTAGAAGAGTAGGGTTACTGTGTTCTTCAGCGTGTACTAATTTCCAAAGCCAGTCTTGCTCAAATGTCTAATTGAATACAACAGATGAAGATTCATGTGATTTCGATGAAGAGACAGCTGATTCATCTTCATTTGAACAATTTACGAACATCCAGCAAGAAGAAAAGGAAGAAGAAGAAGAAATCGAAGAAGACATGACTGTTGAAGTCGACTTTGAATCAGATTAAAATATCAAAAGGAATCAGAACTACAGTTAAAGTCAATAACCAATATCAATAATCATCATACAGTTAAAAGAGTATTGTCCTTGAAAATTCCGTCATAACAGTTCGTGGAGTAGGCCTATCGGGGAAACCATGTTAAAAACGCGTCAAAGTACAATACCTCACAGGTGGTGTGGAAATGTGTGCATCATGTAGAATGTGACTCCTTCAACTTTTAGAATCGCGATATCTCGGGAATGGTGGTTCTTAGAAAAAAAGTACAAGGACCATTTTTGTAGATAATTTTAAGATCTATAATTTTTGTCAGGGCTACTTTTTTGATAAAACTTACCGTTTTCGAAAAAAATCCAAAAAACCTTAAATTTTGACTTTTGACCCCGAATAACTTTTTTAGCACACATGGGATCGATGGGGACTTTTGACACTTTATTTCTAATGGTGTACCCAAGGTCTCCACCAAAATTTAGCTCTGTCGGAATTTTCGTTATTTGAAATGTCTATTTTGACCGGGCTATTTGTTAAATATTCACAAAGTTTTAATCTCAAACATTAAGTTTATGTTGGACATTTTAAGGAATGTGCTACATATCGTCAGCCCAATTTTATTTATACTTTTGTTTGTAACTTAACATTGTGACCTTACATTTTACATATTTTTTTAGCCTTTATACTTTTAATAGCTGGCACATCTTCTGAAGTGGAACATAAAATTTATCAAAAAGTACTCTTCGCTAGCTCCTTTTTGTTCACTTTGCCCATCGCGTTTTTCGGTATGTCTTCCACAACTTTCAATTCCGAAGGTAACGCGTATTTCGGCATCTTATCACTGGCCCAATCCCTTAGCTTGTCTAGAGAGACCTCGGCCCCATTTCTGAGGACCACCACGGCAGCTATTTTCTCCCCCCACACCTCATCTTTGATTCCGAGCACGGCACACTCTCTAATATCCGGATGAGCTAGAAGTACGGTTTCGATTTGCAACGCACTGATTTTGTACCCTCCAGATTTGATAATGTCCACGCTAGTCCTCCCCAAAATCCTGAATTTATTTTTCTCTGGGACGTACTCGCACATGTCCCCAGTTTTGAACCAGCCGTCTTCAGTAAATTCTTTCCTTGTGGCCTCGGGTTTGTTGAAGTATTCTTTGAAGACGCCCCCTCCTTTGACTAGTAGTTCTCCTTGTGTGTTTTTATTTGCTTTTTTATTAAAACTGATGGTTCCACTTTCATTTTTGCATTCTAGAAGCGTGTTGTGGATGTCGTTTGTTGTTTCCGACAATCTAACGGAGACACCAGGCAAAGGCACACCAACGTAACCTGGTGCTCTGTCTGAATCGTACTCGTTGGAAAGAGCCATGCCTATTTCTGTCATTCCGTACCTCTCCAGCAGTCTATGGCCTGATATTTCCAACCATTTTTCGTACAGAGGCACAGGTAGGGGTGCGCTGCCGCTCACCATAAGCCTAACTTTACTTTTCAGGCGATTCCTAACGTCTTCTTTTTTGCCTTTTAAGTTTTTTTCGTAGTAATCTATAAGTTTGGAATAGATGGTCGGTACTGCCATGAACACGGAAACATCCACGTTACTTAAAGTTTCGTTGGTGCCCAAAAGGTGGGACCATACTTCTTCGGTGGAAAATTTAGGAAGCATTATAGTTCTTGCTCCGATCTGGAGGGGACAAAATAGTGCGTTAACGGTGCCATGAACGTGGTGCAGGGGTAAGGTGTGTAGTATGACATCTTCGGATGACCACTTCCATGCTTGGAGAAGGGTGTTGGTTTGCACCAGAAGATTTTTGTGGGACAGTACAACGCCTGTTGGATGAAATAAAATTCTAAGTAGCAATCTGAGGACTCAATTTTCTTACCTTTTGGATTTCCCGTGGTTCCACTGGTGTACAAGATAAGGGCATTGCTATTTTCCTTAAAATCTGACGGTAATTTGCCCCGAAGATCTTCAGGAGTTGTAGTATTCAATCCCGCAAATTTTTGTAATCCTTCCTCGATGACGTACAAATTCGTGCTAGTTGTTTTGGATATTTTCCTCATTACCTCCTGGTGTTGTGGGGCCGTGATCAATAGTTTACAGCCGGTATCCTGCGCGTAATATTGAAGAATTTTGACAGGGTGTAACGGGCTTAGAGGGACAGCTGAAATTTGTATATACAGCTATTTATTTTTACATCCATGCCAAACGCTTACAATCGCGCTGTAAACGAATATCAAATATTTACCTATTTGGCCCGACATCCATATGGCCCACAAAGTGATGACGTAATTGACGTCGTTAGAGCACAGAAACAAAACCCTTTCGTTTGTTTTCCCACTCAGCCTACTAGATATAGAAGACGAGAGCTCTGCGGCTCTCGCAAATATGTTGCCGAAAGTGTAACTACCAGCTCCGTCATATAGTGCTGTTCTGTCTGAAAAGTTGACCGCATTTGCGAAAAGGGGCAGATTACTGATCGTTCTCGTCTCTTTCCATGGCACATACGATAAAATTCGCTTTAAAAAGTTCCTACGGTTTAGGATGAACATTTTTCATTCGGCTTCTGGTCGTTTGCAACACATGCTGTCACTGAAAAGTGACGATAACCGTACTATATTGTTATAGAAACAGGTACTCATGTTTATCTCGAAACAAATTATATAGTTTCGCCGTCATTTTCTGTTATCTAAGTCGTAATCAAATTTTATCGTTTGTTTTGTTATCAATGAGTGTTGGCAAATTACTGCAATAGACAAATAAATTTCACTCATGCTTCTGATTTCTATATACATATTATTTTAATTTACGTTTATTAAGGTTATTTGAAATTTAAGCAGTATTATCGCTAATTTCTTTATTGTTGAAGATGGAAGATGGTTACATGACTAAAAGAAATGCTGATTACTTACCTAACCACGAATAATGGGATGTTTGCATATAAAAAATTGTACTTCGAAGAAAAGTGAACTTTTTTTTGTGAAAATTAATCTAAATATGGGTTAAAACTTGTTTGTAAAATTTACCTCGATAATTCTCAGAAAATCCACTACTTGGGAGAAAACTGGCCCAAATATGGGTCAAAATTGATTTTTTCCTAAATTTTGTCCGTCACATTATTTCATCTTACGGTAATATCTGTAAAAGTGGCAAACACCCCGTCCAGATTACGAAACATTCTCAAACCTAATACTCTATTCTGTACTTACCATAGACCTAGTAAATAAACTAGTAACTAGTAGTTTATAAGGTCTATGGTACTTACTTTGAATTTGATTATTAATTCTGTAGTAGCTGTGTTTTTAATGGTAACAGTTTCTTGGAGAGTTGTAGTAGACCAGGCAAGTTAGACAATAAATCAGAAATTTTTTTCTGATGAACTGATCGAGTTGCAGTTTTCGGCATTGTCTTCGGAAAAATATCAGGAAAAAAGTCTATCTATTACACTTTGGGGCTGGATCGAAACTGCATTGCGGGTGCATAAACTGTGTGCATCAATTTTTCCGAATGGTAAACTAAACTGGTAAACTAACTGGTACTAAAAATGGTAAAAATTTACTAAAAGTTGTAGAAATTTGTGTGCACGGGTTTTCGGGGTCGGGGATTTCGATTCTGACACTGAAAAGTATCCCCGACGCCCCTGGGGCACCCATGGGGGCAAGGGGGGGCTTCTGTAAAACATCGAATAGATGAGTAATTGCCTTCTAAATTTCCACTCGGGGGTTTTTGTGGTCGGGGATTCCGATTCTGACACTGAAAAGTATGCCCGACGCCCATGGGGTTGGCTTTCTGGAAAACATCGAAAGGCACATCAGATTTTTGCAATAAAACTGCTCCACCTGCTTACCAACCATGATCTTGTAGGCTCATCTTTATATTGTAACACACGTAAATTTACAGAGATTAGAGGAAAGAAGGTAAGAAAAACTAACAGGAAATTAATGAGTCGAAAAGAATCCCCTTTATTCTGAGAACCAATTTTCTTTTTATTTGCAAGACAATTAGTGAGACAACTACTATCATATATTTATCTAACACTTTCACTATCAATCACAATTTTCATCATCAGTCATCACTGTCTCCATCACTATCATCTATTATATTTTCGACTATTTCAGAATTGGAACAGTTGGTTCCAAAACAATTTGTACATGCAATTGTGCATGTAATTCCATGATTCCTGCACCCACAAGATCTGCATTGTCGATAATCGGATTTTGTCGCCTAATTGTTATGCATTATCCGCAGTCGCACGGGCTCAAGAGATTCTTTTGAAAATCCATAATCCATGAAATATTCTTCAGTTTTAAGGAATATTTCTTTGATTTAACGAAATTTGTCTCTTAGGAACGGACTATCCAGGATTTCTCCAATTCTAAGACAATTTTTCTCAGTGATAGACAAGCTAAGATTAATGGATATTTTCCAGTGTCAGATTCGGAATCCCTGACCCCGAAAACCCCCGCGTAGAAATTTAGAAAGCAATTACTCAGCTATTCGATGTTTTACAGAAGGCCCCCGCTTGCCCCCCTGGGGGGCCCCAGGGTCGTCGGGCATATTTTTCAAGGATAGATTCGGAATCTCCGACTCCGAAAACCCATGCACACAAATTTCTACAACTTTTAGTCAATTTTTACCATTTTTAAAAAATTCGGAAAAATTTTAGCACTCCAAGATGCAGTTTATGCACCAGCAATGCAGTTTCGATCCAGCCCCAAAGTGTAATAGATATACTATTTTCCTGATATTTTTCCGAAGACAATGCCGAAAACCGCAACTCGATCGGTTCATCAGAAAAAAATTTCCGTATTCTTTCTGGGTGATTTTGGTCTAACTTGCCTGGACTATAGGTTCAGGACAATTAACCAAAACTCTTTCTTTTTTGCAAAATTTGCCGACGTTTCGATTAAACATATAGTCGAAATGTTGGCAAAAGAAAAAGTTTTAGCTAATTGTACTAAAATCACAACTCTCATAAAAAACTACTCATTGTTTCTGTTAGAAACTGCGTTTCTATGGAAGACAATACTTTTATATTATTATTTTGGAACTCTGGATCAGGTGATGTAAAAAAATTGGATGACGATAATGCAGTATATGTTTTATTTGTAATTACATTTATTTTGTACATCATATCATACATGATAGAACCAAACACAGCTTAATTTAAACATATTAAAAAATACTCCAGCTACCTTAAACAAAATACACTTTTCTCCTATATCTATTAACAAATCAAATGGAATTTCGAGTAATGAGATAGTCGTTGTATGTCCACAATACGTGTACCTCACCCCATTATTGAATATTTTCCCTAACGAACATCACATTTTCATTTGTGGACAAATTGTGTTTACATGTAATCATATAGATTGAGCCAGAAAGAAAACACGTTATATGGAAAATAACCCATCAGCAAAATTTATTATTTTCCTCTAATTTGAATCTCGTGGTATACGATTTATTTTTTTCGTAAGCGTAGTCATATTTTCTCAGTTTTCTTTCTCTCATTCTATACATCTTCGGCCACTGTTGAGTATATCATAGGCCGAAATCTTGATTTCGCGGTGTAAATGAACTGGAATGTCTACCAGATTTTTTAGTCTTGTCTATCTATATTTTTACCTAATATGCCAGCAGTAAGATTGTCAGGGACATTAATATAGGGGGTGTAACTTTGTTTACAATGTTTGTATCGAAATAATATAAGGCAGGTTGATTTCTAAAGGAATTTTTCCTGTAAATATTTTCTTACTGAAATTACATTGTTCCTTGGGGGAATTTAAAGGAAGGGACCTTTTTGTAACGTGAGTTACAGATTTCTTTTCTGGGAGCTTTATTATTTTCTGCTGTGCGTTGTATGTAATATGTATTTCAACAATAAAAGGTTATGCGTTAAATCGTTTCCATAAAAATAATTTGCCGAACGTGTTTTTGCCATATTAATGCCCCTGATCGAAAAAGTTGAAATTTTATTCTGTTTCAGATCGAGGAGCAGTAGGTTGGGAGTTTCTGAAATTGTAGATAATTCTTCTTTATCTAAAATATATTTAAAAGTGCCTCAATTTGTTAGTACTTAGCTTTGTTCTCTAGAACAAAGGAAAAAGCTAATTTGGACCTGAATTTGGTTTAGTTATTGCAATATTTTTTGTTCCAATGTTTTAAATGTGCAATTTCCAATTATTGAGGTCTTAAAACTTATGATTAGATACGATTTATTCTTAGAAATAGACTAAAATTTTTCTTTAACAATAATGCTGTCAACTTCCCATTCCTCTCAACCACCAATCACAAAGCAAGAACGTAAATAACATCGGTCTAGCCACGCCCACAACGGTGCTTGTTTAAAGAGACAGCCTTTGCGCAGACAAAATGCCAATGCTTTGTCCTCCTCATCTCTTCCAAGCTCTTTGAGGCAAAATTAATAAATACTGGACAATTTTCGAGACTTTGGTTAAAACAAACTTCCAACTTATTACTCCCTCGATTTGTAAGACTTAAAGATATCTAGACCTGGAGAAATAGCAGGAATTTTCAACAAACTACATCCCTGCTACCTCCCGGACATTTTTTTACACTTTACATTTTATTGTCGTATACTCCTGCTGGTCGCTGGAGGAAGGCTCTTTTGCCCAGGTTCATCAGCATCTGCCTGTTCCGGTTAGCGCCCTCTTTGGCCTTCTTCCTCGCTATCTCCAGAAGGAGCCGGTTGCGCAGAACATCCAGGGAGTTCACAATGGACAGAGAACCTCCTTGTTCTCCTAATCGGCCTGTCCTCTTGATCCTGCTGTCTAGGCCGAGGTCGTTCTGAAAAAAAGACCAGTGAGGTCAATTAACTACGAGGAGTTCCACTTAGCTATAGAAATAATTAAATTATATTAATTATAATTAATATAATTATATTATATTAATTATAATTAATTATATTAAATAATTAAATTAATAATTAATTGTGTAGTGGTAACCAGTAGTGACAATGTTTTTCTATACAAAGTTACGTATCTGTGACAGGCTTATAGACCGATCGAAATAACTCATTTAGAGGGAAAAAAATAAGAAAATTATTACCTGGACTTTTATAAGTGGAAATGGTAAAGGGGCTTATAATAAAAAAAAAAATAAATGCGTGAGCAGGGGAGGCGGAGGGTTGATTTGGGGGATTGAAAAGTTGTGAAAAATTGTATCATTGGATTTCTGGCGAAAGTTACGTCAAACAAAAAAGTGTCCAATACAAAGTTATAGATCATACAAAAATCTACAACTTTTGTAAAGGTCACTTTTTAAAATAACCTCGAAATTTCCGAGAAAAATGCGAAAAACGGGTTTTTTTCTTATTTTTTGTTTTTTATTTCTCATTTGCGCAAAAATAATTTAATTTTGACGAAACTTGGTGAAAGTATACCTTTCTGTGTCTTAAATATTTTTTAGATAGAAAAATCAAGAAGTTTCCGAGATATTCATTTTTTCCGGTCTGAAACACATTTTTTTTAAAGAACAATTCTACTTACGATTAGAAAAATCATCGTACGGAACATTTTTTTCGTTTTGACATATACTTTTTGGTGAAATAAAAAAATCTGGAATCACAGTTCAAAAAC